TTATAACGTGACGGAGTGAAACACTGGGTGCCTTTACCATGGATGCAACAGTCGGTGTTTTATCTGAGCTTTCGCAAGTAGGCGAATACATCTAAGTAAAGCCATGTCTGAATGAAAGGCAACGAATTTGTTGACAAGGAAGCAAAAAATGCATTAAATTTCCAACAAACAAATATCAAACTACCATTTACAGATTTAAAACCTATTATTAGTACAGTCATTCAAAATGAATGGCAGAAACGCTGGTCGCTTGAAACCAGCAACAACCCTTTTAAAGTACAACCGAAACTTAGAACGGAAACCATGGTGAGCTTATGCCATACCTCAGCGTCCATCGTCCGTCCTCCATCCTTGGACAGAGGGGACTCAAATTTTATAAGCAGTGGTTTGGGTCTAAAAGGGGGCAGAAGAGCGGGGCCTAATAGGGAAATAGAGGTAAACCTTAAAAATCCTTCCTCTACCATAGGGATGAAGGAATTTCCTCCCAATTTGGTCTGGAGGATCTTGGGCAAAAGGGACTCAATGTTGTTTAAACAGTGAGTGTGGCACTCCTGGGGGCAGAAGGGCGGGGCCCAATAGGGTAAACATAGCAAATTCTTCAAATACCTTCTTCTTCTGTACGAATGACAGGATTTTGTCCAAATTTAGTATGCAGCATCCTTGGATGAAGGGAAACCAATTATGTATAAACGGTGTGTCTAACCCCCCTGGAGGCAGAGAGGCGGGGCGGGGCCCAATAGTGGAAATAGGGGAATAGGTAAAACCTTCCAAATTCCTGCTTCTATCATAGGGATTAAGGGATTTTATCCTAATTTAGTCTGGAGCATCATTGGGCCAAGGGGACTCAATTTTGTATAAGCAGTGGTTATGACCCCCCTAGAGGAAGGGGCTTTGTTTGAAATTTGTTTTCGCTATATCTCAAGTACTGGATGGATCTTTCTGAAATTTCATATGTACTTACAGCACCTACCATGGAGTGCTATATCTTTACTTCATACAAATTATTCAGGTGAGCGATAAAGGCCATCTGAGCCTCTTGTTTAATAGAATGTTCCGATTTTAAACACATTCGTGATAACTACTTTCTAGTACCGGATATGAAAACTCTATTCAGTTCCGTGGACTCAATGTCATTATTTAGCTATTTGAAAGACATCGATCTATTCTTTAAACTCTAATGCTTTTAAACCAACCTTACCCTCTTTGACGTTATATATATCANTTTTTTTTTTTTTTTTTTTTTTTTACCATGGCCTTAAATGATGACCACAGCCGTCGATGGGCCGTAAAACACAAACACACAAACAAACCATTGCGACATTTTGACATTGAAATTTGAAAATTAATCTGAAATTCATTCAGCTATTATTTAATAGACTCTGATGTCTTTAACCCATCTTACCCTTTTTGACGTTATATATATCACATAGTCCATATCATCTATTCGTTATCTCTTTTATTATTTTAACACCGTTTTTTCCTAATTATTTACACATACAATGCGAATGCTTTTAAAATTAACCTTTTTATCTGATTTTCTCTTCGCTACTCACATATTTGTTAAAAAAAAAAAAAAAATGAAATGAATAAATCACCATGGCCTTTAATGACCACAGCCGTCGATGGGCCGTTAAACACAAACAAACAAACTGGTGGATTCCATATACTGCTGTAGGGTCTATCTACATTTTCATTCCAGTAACGGACAGCCATACAACCTCTCCGGATGTATTCTTCATTCCCGAATGCAATTCGTTTGTAATGAAAAAGGTTCAAAACATTGTTGAATGACTCCACGTAGAATGTGTCCATGGCCATGATGTAGTCTTCTGGGTTCCGGTGTATTGCACTTTTCTGGATTGCGTTGTGCAGAAGTAGCTCAGCCTTTGGGTCCTTGATGATCATTTTGATGGCTGGTGGTTGGGGTATGTCCTACAGTTTGATTTTTCTGAACAACCAGTGTGCACATTTTGATTATGTTTGACAATATTGTCCAGACTTTGTATGGGTTTTTGAGCATTTCCCTTGCATTCTCTGATGTTTTAATGTACGCGAGTTCTTATTGATGACACTTTGTCACAGAGTTGCGAGTGCCACATTATTCCATGTTTGTACTGTGGACCAAATGCTACTTCTTTCAATAATTTTTCTACCTGTTTACCAGCATGCCAAGTGTCATTCTGATTTTTCGTGGCATGGTTCTCCCGGATGTACATGTTGATGGAAAGGTTTCGATCATTTGCATGTGCTGATATTATAACTGGTTCCAGTTCGTGGTCTTCAAAATGTTGATATATCTTTTCCATTCCAGGTTTGTCGCTGAGCATATAAATCATCATCTTTTGTAATTATTTAATCCAACAAAACTTTGTGTGTTTCATACCCAATACAAACAACATCAGTCTGTTTAAAGTTTTTTGCTCCAGCCGTGTCGGGCATCTGTGACAATTTTGATGCCTTCAAAATCCTCCAACTGGCCTTCATAATTGATAACAGCCGTCGCCATTTCATTTGACAATGCATCCTAACAGGAATCGTTGTACGCATAAGCTAGGTCAAAATCTTGTGCAACATGGTCACGAAGAAAGCCTCGGTCAATGTTCCAATATCAGCTGCTTCAGTCAGCCTCTTGAACTGATTGGGGATTATCCCAGAACACATATAGCCATGTGCCATCCGATGGTTTACCAAACCCTTTTCATTTGGTAAATATGGTGAAGACGGACAATTATGTTAATCAGCATCACCATTGACACAGTACAGTTTAAGTACAGATGCATGTCCTTTCTTGTATTTCTCATCGGCTTCAATGTGACAGTTTTTGCACAGATTTGAGTGTTCAGTGACAATCTTTGCCAGGAGCTTTACAGATGAAATAGCTGTAAGAAAAACAGGTTGATCAACATCTTCTCTGTCTGCTTGAATATAACCAGAAGTTGTGGAGATAGTCTGTTCTCTCATCTCTTCATCATCGTCATCATCATCAACTATTCTTTCCTGGTGTCGTTCCAGAAAGAAGTGAAGCACTCTGTTGATTACCTCTGTATAGCCCCTGATACAAATGTAATAGGTTTTTCACTTTCACAAAGTTTTGATTTCACACTTTCGCAGCTGAGCCTGCACACCATGTCTGGGCATCATTCTTCCGCGATGACGCCTCAGAAAATTTGATATCTTATGAATTCATCAACAAAACTTTAATATCACATTTAAAATATTGTTTTATTGCTACATAATATGGCTGTATTGAACTATCAACGTAGAACATCATATTGAATGATAGTCCTTCAATGACGGACTATATTTGTTTACATAACGTCAATACGTAGACTTGCACAAGCTCCAAAACCTCGGAAAAACTATCAGAATGGATTTCGCAAGTTCCCAATTATTGGAAAAACACATGTTGATTGAAATAAAAGGTTTTAATCTTGCTTTGGTCGATTTCATTGGGTGATGAATTGAGTTGGTAATGAAACAAATTCAACATGAACTACTTCGCAGTTCATTAAATTTGTTTCAAGACCAGCTCAATTCATCACGCGATGAAATCGACCAAAGCAAAATTCAATCCTTTAAGGAAGTACAAATGTGACATTATATTATATTTGAATACACGCTGAAAACACTACAATACTCATCAGAGTATTTTACCATTGAAATACGTTATGGAATGTTTAACTGATGAAATTGCGTGCAGAAGGTATGTATGATTTAACGATGTAGCCCGTAAAAAATATAAATGATAATCGGTAAATGTTACCTTTTCCTTAATTAGGGTTTTGTGTCATTTCTTAATGTTTGCTTATGAGCTGAATGGTGAACGCTTACCTTTCCAGTTCTTGTTTCTTTTCTCCCTGTCCTTTTTTAAAGTTATCAGTGTTGTGATATGGCTACTGACGGTTTTCTGTTAGTCATGACATGTGTCGTAGTATTATATTTTGTAAAGTTTCGGTGGTTCCTAATAAACAATGGCAATTTCCTGATTAAATGCTCAGACATGCTGCATCACATTTCAAAACATACAGTGAATTGTTGCATTAGTTCAAATAGCAGAAGGGACAGGCATGTTTCCTCATGCTGCATCAACGAGTATCAGTCATGCATTTATAGTTTCGGACTTACAATGTAATGGTAATTATGGTAAATGGCTTATAAATCGAGAGATATTTGTTTCTTTTCTCCTTAAATCGCAACGAAAGAGAATATCGTGAATTCAAATGTCTCTCCTGTGTCTGTTTAGAAACAAACAAGGATAATTAAAGTGGTCGTTGTTCTTTTCGAAAATTTATTAATTCCTTTGGAACAATTGCTGAAATATAAACTCACGAAATCGTGATTTACAGCATACATAAAATATTCAGGGAGGAAGATTGAATTGTCATGAATTTTGTCAAAACATGAAAAGACTCCTACTTGTATAAAAGATATAATTTATATTAAAAAAAGGTTTGGTAATCTAGCTACTTAATAATCTGTTCTCTGCTACAATAGGACTAATTCTGATAGATAGATCTTGAATTCATCCGCTGAGACAGACATACATATGTAAGAATTTGCGATTGGATAGACAAACTGACAAACCATAATATCAATTCTGGGTGTTAATTAGAATACATTTATTGTAATTAAAATAAAACTGTTATTGGTTTATTGATGAGAATTATATGGGGCAACAAACCGCACAATGTTATGTAGGTGACAAACATTTTTTTTTTATACAAATATGTTCTACTTACAAACAATGTTAACTTCTTATACTAGGAAATTAATTCAATGTCCTAACACTGATGAGACTTAATTTTAATTAATATGACATTTATTCAACACCAGTTTAAGACCGTTCAGACCACAACCCGACGGATTTACTCTCCGAGGCGTTGATCATGATTACTTTATTAAACATGAAAGGCCGTAAAAACTTCAACTCCAACGGGGAGACTCATATATTAGTGTACTTATTGACGAGCGTGACACACATTTAAAATATTCCGGAAATACGACGACGTCACTGGTTGCGGTCTCAGCAGGCTTAGTTAACCATCAGGCGGCCAAGCAAGCAAGACACACTGGGACCTTCCGCTCTTAAAGTAGGTACATAGAAGCGATATGATCTAAGAATCAACGTAGGTTTGCATTATTTTTTTGGCAAAAAACAACCAATTATCCTTTTGAATGAGACATGGAAAATCATTTATACTCTCGTGTTTAGCATGCAAACAACCTAACTACACCCAGGATATACTCTGCTCTGTTTTTGGCCCAGTAATAACACAAATACATGTCTAGTCGAAAATGAGCATTTATTTGATTAAAATGCCAGTAATGAAATTATGACCAATAGATACATGTTGATGGTATAAAGGCAACAAAAGATTGGGGATCTTCAATAGAAAAACGCCCCATACTTATACATATAGCTATATTTGTACAGTCATAATACGGTGGACATGCAGGGGAGGAGGAGGGAAAACAAATTATTTGCTAAACAATCGTGGAAACCTTCCCGTGTTTACAGTTTGTTCTCAGTGGAGTGTCACGTGACATCCGACACCAAAACTAGTCATCAAACCCGTAGCCAGGCTGACTACATTTCCGGTCGACCAGCCCTTACCCGGGCTGGCTACATTTTACCTTTCCGGAATAAAAAGACTAGTATTACATATAACCTAAATGATTGAATACAACAAATACGTTAATTGACTGGACTAGTATTACATATAACTTAAATGATTGAATAAAACAACTACATTAATTGACTAACACAAAAATAGGCATTTACTAAACAGATTGTATAAATTACTTTATGTATAACATAAATACAATTATTGTTTTCATTCTTTTTGCATTTTTAAATTATCATCAAGACAGAAATTTATTAATTGAACTCTAAATGACTTACTGCTTACTCATGTCTACAATTAAAATATCATACGTAAATTATAACAATCAGTTTGAAATAATTTGTTATTTACTAAGCTTCTTCTTGATGCATTGAAATATGTTTTTGTTTTTTTTAATTTCCGGATACATTATATTTACACCTACAAGGACAAAATGGCATTTAAACATTTTGGTTTTTTCCATAAGAGCACATTATCAACCTAGATACTTGTAAAACGCGATAACCGAAAACACAGCAGCACATTTTAAGTGATACATTGTACAGTATGTAATCATGACGTTGAAAATTAATTAACAGATCAATACATCAGTTAATTCAGCTTAGATCATCGCTGATTTCTACATGTATTACATTGCAGTTTCATTTATCACGAACATAATGATGGGAAGGTTCCTTGTCCTGGTAGCATTGTCACTCGTGCTGCAGAGTGTGCATCTTGTACTGGTAAGCGATATTTCATCAAATAAAATATGTTACTGTTAAAAGTATATTGGATACCAACTTTCTATAATAGTGATCTGTCTACAACCCAACTGTGTATTTGCTTTATATTAGAACGATTGTTTTTGTCTTCTCTTCTTTGGCCTTTAGACGCTGTGCATGTGTGATTGTGTTTTCATTTATTTCAAAATGGTTAATATGTAATATTTAGATTTTTATTTTTATTAAAGAGGTAATTTCATCTAAGAGCGTGTCAAATAAGTTAACTATTTCATTAAACAGGATCCCATTTAGAGAGAAGTATATACAATGATTCATCGGGTTGAATGCTTGTATGTCGCGCATTGTTGTCTTGTTAGACCCAGGCAACAGTATAAACATGGATGATGATAGATTTGATGCTAACTGTTTTAATGAACAGGGTGATGACCCAGACAACAGTATAAACATGGATGATGATAGATTTAATGCTGATTGTTTTATTATTTAACAGGGTGATGACCCTGACAACAGTATAAACATGGATGATGATAGATTTAATGCTAATTGTTTTATTATTGAACAGGGTGATGACCCAGACAACAGTATAATCCTGGATGATGATAAATTCACGCCAAAAGAAATACTGTTCTTGTTAAAGTACATCGGTCTAAACCCCGAATTGGCTACAAAATACACTGATATGATAATGAAGAACAGTGACGCGAATGGAGATGGCGTCATAGAACAACCAGGTACATATCATTCTTTTGAAATAAATTACAGTTTAGTTACTGATCGATTAAACTTTACATAACGGTATATTTTCCTATACACATTTTACCTTTTTGGCGTCAGTTCAATTTTGATTATGTATTTTATATATACATATTAAATATTTGTAAACTTCGTAAACTGAACTTTATTACATACAATGTACATAGAATTATCATTACTTTTAGTGCATCAATGCTGCAGTTTATTTCCAAAAAACTTTATCTATATTTTCAGTTCATTTGATTATCAGAGGAAAAATGACCGTTTATCGTGTTTTTTTTAGCAAAGCAATTAATGAAAATCCATATTTAACTCATTTAATATAGGAAACTTGGTCAATGTAAACGTAGCAGTTAACATGCGAATTAAAAACACTAAATTGTGAGTATTTGGTAAGATCCACCGATGCTTTTTCTAAAACCTATTTTCTACACCTGTTGGTAGACAATTGTATACTTATCAAATTACGCAAACTCACTTTACGACTAAAAACTATATAGATCAAGTACATTTGTAACTACTTTTTAAAAACTCCGTTTAATGAAATATCTTAGGAGAAAGTCATTCGCAGATGGCTACATTTAAAGTGTAACCCTCTCTCTCTCTCTCTCTCTCTCTCTCTCTCTCTCTCTCTCTCTCTCTCTCTCTCTCTTTAGGTACACTCCCTTAATAGACGGAATNTTTAATTATATACAAATTACCACCATCAACACTGAGTTTTAGAAAAAAAATATTGTCTTCACAAATGAATTGGCTATAAACTATTAAAATTAACTGGCTTTGTTTTTCCTAATAGTCTGTATACGCCGATGTTAAACACGTTCATTTTAATTCTGCGACATGAGTGTGTAAGAAGAAAAGGAGAAATTGACCTATAGAACAAAATGAATTAAATGTACAAAAATTGCGTATTATATATATCTATTCTACACTAATAAAAAGTGAACCATTGCCCTGAAACAAAGTTTTTAAAGTTCATTATAAACAAAATCAGGTCAAAGATCAATAATTTTTCTTAAGAGTGAAAAGCTTTAAAACCCTAAACTAACAGTAGGCCGATGGTCATGATACATGAACATGTATGTGGCCAATATAGTTACATGTACTTGGGGTTAAATACTATAAAGTAACTTAGCAAAATTGACATACTATAAAGCGCACAGGGGTCAACATATCCTAAAAAAATAAACAGGGAGCCCGATACTTATTCTAGAAGGCTATGCATGAAATACCAAAGTGTAACAATTTTAAAGCTTAAATTCTAAGGGAACTTAATTAGAAATACTTTGTATTCAACTGCGGCCACCAAGGTACCCAGTAAACCCCATCCTCGATATCAAGGGGTAACGCTTACTTCGCTCTCAGCATCCCTGGAATATGTCATAGCAAAATTGAAGGCTCAGTGTGCACAACCTTGTGGATCCAGGGGTTACGCTCACTTTCGCTCTCTGCAACCTTGGGATATGTCATGGCAAAATCGAAGATTCAGTGTGTAAAACCTTGTGGGCGAGACGAGAAGATCCTTTGGTGTACGTCAAAAGAATCTTGCGGTCGCGTAACGGTAAATCTGACTGGCTTTGAAGTCGGGCATCGCTCCTTTGTAATCTTCCAAGGACAAGTATCAGCTTTTGATTAGTCCAGCTTTTTTCTTACCTGACACCAATCAAATAGCTAGCCGCGTGCTTTCGATTTTATTATGACATGTTCCAGAGGTTCAGAAAGCAAAGGTGAGGGTAACCCCTGGATATCGAGGATGTGTGGATGAGACAAGAAGATCCAAAGAATCTCGCGTTCGCCTAACAATAAAAACATCTATGCTTTTAGAGTCGGGCGTCACTTCTTTGTAATCTTCAAAAGACAGGTATCGGCCGAGTGATTGATCAGTTTTTTTACCCGACCAATCAAATAGCTAGCTGCCTGTCTTCAATTTTCCTATGCTGTATTCTAGGGGTACAGAGAGCGAAAAGTAAGTGTAACCCCTGGATATCGAGGATTGGGTTTATTGGACACCTTGGTGCCGCAGTTTAATACAAAATATTTCAAATAAGGTCCCCTTTGAATTTAGCTTTAGATTTATACACTTTGGTAAATAAATATATGCTGATTTTTATACATAGCATTCTAGAATGTTTAAAGATTCTAAAATTTGTTGACCCCAGTGCACTTTAAAGTACAGGAAAAAAACGTTTTACACACTTTATTGATGATGAGGTTTTGTTCTAAGTTTACAAATTAATATCATGTCTCGTTGTGCTGATTTTTTTGGAAAAACTGATGTAAAAAGTTTCTAAATCAGTGTTATTCCTGAAATATAGTGGCTACCTGATAACAGTTAAATAATTACAACATTATTTGAGGGTGTTCAAACTTTTGTCACATAAAGTTGTAAACTGGCCTTATCTACGATTATTTAATGACAGAATCGTTTTTAATATACTGTAAAATAAAAATGGCCAACCCTATAAACGTCTACCATGAGATGTAATCTTAAAGAATCTTATTCGCTTTAAAATCACTTAAAATTGTTATTCATATATACCAATAAAGTAAACAGCGAGGCATCCAAGACATATGTTTTGCCTACCGGTATTATTACAGCATCATCTAGAAATAGTATAACATGTAAAATCATAAATTTGTGGTAGATATTTCAATGAATAGTACATACTGATGCAATTTATTTGTTTACTTGATTAGTAAAAAGTACAATATGTTTAGATTCATTATATAAGGATGTTATCATTCATTATTTTCAGAGAGGAAGACATGGGTTTGATGGACTAATTCATTTTAAAGTTACCTCCACTATTTCGAGCTATTTAACGTATTGTTTTGTAAATGAGGTATGTGGACTTTGACGGAAATCCTACATTTTATTTTATTTTCGATGGTAGCCTAGCTGCTTTCTATATTTCGTTGTCATGAATTTCTAGTTTATAAGCTTTTGTTGAACAAATGCTATAAAACAATTTATTGTACATTAAAGAGAAAAAATAAGTATAGCTGTGTTGGTGTTCCTGTTTTCCTCTTTGAGTATCCGGTATAGACTTATAGGATATACATGTATACACATGAAATATGAACAACCGAAAGGTTCATAAGGAGACTTTTGGGGAATAATGGGAATGCAACCAGGGCCCAGTTGTTCAAAAGAACAAAACTATTGAATTAAATACAACTTTCCAGGTATCAAATATTTAGTACAGTAAATTTACATGCAAAATTGTGTAATTTTACCTTGAATATTATTGAAGTTATTAAAGGTTGAAAAATGACATTAAACAGTGATTAAGCTCACCGCCTTTTGAACAACTGGGCCGAGATGTTCCGGAAGGGCACGCGTCTTCTGCTTCATCGAAAACATGTAAAGGTAGGTAAAATCCAAGAAATGACACGTCCCAAAGCGAGAACAGCTATAAAGACTAATACACTAAAGGGCATGCTACTGAGCATAATAAAAAAGATCTTTATATCACAAAAGATTGAATCTTGTGGCGTGTCAAGCGACATAATTGTGGATATAAAGTACATGTATACGGCTAACCTCGGAGGTTAAAAAATCAGAGTCAACAGTATGTACCAACTTGTATCGGGAAGATGAACGTTATACACACGTATGGCACACCCATTGTGCAGTAGAATTAGATAAGTATGCCAAATTTGAAATACACTCCGCCATGCAGTTATTTTGTCCTCCAAAACATTGTGCATGGGTTCATTTGATGTAATCGTAATTAAGCGTAATATGACAGGTGAGACTCTGAAATATACTCATGCAAAACTTATGCAACTGGTGAAAGGGAGGAAACTCTCATTCCTTATTGTTTTATCATTCGATTAGATATTATCGTTACACGAATGGTGCAGAGTTTCTTATGAAAGTGCATGAAAACGCTAGTTTTTCATTATTGAAGCGGCGAGGTATGGTGCTGCCAAGTTGCCCTCTAATGTGATACTAGCCCCCATGTGGAACATCTTTTTGTTGCATATGGACGTGGACCACTGCTGTGACGTTTCGGCAATTGTCGAAAATCACGAACACATATGTCACTAAAGATAGAAGAAATTTAAAAAAAATAATAATACGAAACGGTTTTAATGTTCACTAGAACAACAGTAAAGACCATAGTTGTGCAAATGAGATGCCAAGCAAATAGATATGTGAATCATGTGGAAAAACTTAAGACTATCACTTTCCTGAAAAAACAAACATACGCTAGAGTTTAAACATGAATGCTACGTTTGCGGCAAGTGGGACAACCAATCAGTGCAATACCGTTTTCATGTTTCTTGCATTATGTACCACATGAATGTTGCACTGAACAAGTGAACACGGATCTTTGCGTGTTGCGTCTGCCAACATTCTAACAACAAGAAATACAAACTGGTTGAACCAGTAAAGGGAAAACATGGAGCGCCCCTGTTCACCTGCCAAAATTGTGGCCTGAAATACTTTTTTGAAAGGAGTATCTTTAGGAATAGGACTTTTAACATCTAAAATAGTTTTTTGAAAGGAACATCTTTACCAAAATCAAAATAAAAACTAAACTTTCGGAATAACATCGGTTTTTGAAACGTGTAGCCTTTTGCTTTCTCGATTTTTAGTTATTGTACGCCCTTGCTACCTACAGGTATAAGGAATTATTTTGAAGTCTCACGTCTTGGACACTTTTTTTCAAGGCAAAATAATTTCGTCGTTGCAATGACGTTCTATAAAATGGGCAATGACAACCATGGAAAATTGTCCTGACTTTCATTGCAATACAGACACTTGTAAGCCGCCATACCTGAAAAAAATAAAATTAACAATAAGAATGTGCATTCCAAGACGCCGTTCACTTTATATAAATGCATGATTCCAGTTGTTGTACAGACCTGCATCAGGTCACCGTAAAATGCTGTGGAACTCTTGAAGCTGTTAACGAACAAAATAAAAATAAACATAACTAAATAATGGCATTGATGTTGGGAGAATGTGTAAACAAATCCCGAGGTAAGGCGTGAGAAAACGAAAATAGGTTGCAAAATGTAAAACCCACCGAGATCGACACAAGTCAACCTATTGCCTTATTGGGCTGATTGGCTGATAACACTAAATGATATAAATAAATTACGCGGGATGCTACTCCGAAGGCTATGTATATCTACCTGAATTCTTCCAGAACATTGAATTATTGCTCACTTGTCGACAATAAAATTTCGTTTTGGTACAAACAGTAAACATTTTACTATCAATTAACCGTCTAGTCACGTTATGCTAGGCGTGGCAAAAATATGCTGCCCAACGGTGGCACTATCTTTCTGCATGGCCTCCCGGCATGGATGATTCCTAAGAATCCGTTAACAGATCAATTAACGGACTTAATGACAAGAGTGGTCTCGCCGTGTGCCCTGCTTGTAGTGATGGGTTAATATCACTACCTGGAATATATAGTCAACTGTTGTAATTCAGAAGGACAATCATGTTTTTTTTTAAATCCCAAAGGCACAAACCACAGAACTATATTTGAATATTTAATACCAAATGAAGCTATACATGCTGTGTCTTTCCGAGTTTCAGCATTACTGTTTAGATTTTATTCGGAAACAATTGTCTTTTGGGCGTGAATCCCACGTCGAACCATGATTTGGAGTCTCTTGTGTCCTTTTGGTATTATCTACCATACTTGTCAGTATCGAGTAGCACAGTTTAAACTTTTGAAATATGAATATTTTGTTTGAGTTTGAATAACAGATTAAACGAAAGATCTATACAATGGCAGTAACCTGAGCAAGGGTTTAACCAAACAGTGTATGATGTTGAAATGGTATACGATCTGGGAACTTATCCGCGAGTGAGTGGGCGCTATATCCAAATAGAAGATAAAGGGTATGTTAAATAAACAGTGCAAGAGGACAGGCATCCTTAAGAATTTGTTTTGTTTATGTATTGCTTCACGGCCCATCGACAATATGAGTCATTTTGGGCCAAACAACACTTTTTTCATTTTTTAACTTCTCAAGAACCAGCGGATGGATGTTTTTCAAACTTAGTCAGAAACATCCTTGGTAGATGCGGCTACAAAATTGTAAAATTGGGATTCCTACCCCAAGCCCTGGGGCCAGGGTGGGGCCCCAAATGGAAAATTTACCAATATTTCAAAAATCTTCTTCTCCAGACTCAGAGGTACTACAGTCATTTTCTCTGCATGGGTGGAGTGATCATCAAATGCTTTATTTAAATTGTAGATTCCAGGACCCCCGAGATCTCCGTTTGGGGAGGGGGTAAAGTTTACTATCTTTTATATATGGAAATAACACTTTTGGGTATATTTTATCCATTTTCAGCAGAAAATTATTCAAACTTGGTCAGAATCATCTTTGGTGGATGAGGGTATTACATTGTACAATTGGAATTCCTGCCTCATCACCAGGGGCTAGAGTGGGGCCCCAAAGGGAACATATACCACCTTTTTAAAAGTTTACATGCTGATTTCAACATCACATCTAAACAATAAAGCTACAAGTACCTATGATATAACTATGACCTCTAAGGCCATTGGGCCTCTTGTTCTAGTTAAGAAGAATTGTAAGTTACATGAAGTATTAACATGACGGGCAAACTTACGCATAATAGTAGCGGTAATAATTTGATACTGACGCCAGAAGTACTAGTATTGTCTACTATTGTTGCGATAATTTGGTTTATTTTATTAATCGGGTATATGCTTTGGTGTCCTCTATTTGGAGACACAAAAGCGACCAAAATAAATATGCTGCACCCATTGCAATAGTTGGGAACTTATCTTTCTTTCTACTTAAAACTACCTTTATCTCATAGCGCCTTGCTTGGCAACACCTCACTTTTGGCCTTTATGTCGAGCGCTCGCTCAGGTGAGGAAGGCAACTGGTTCTGTCCCCAAGCCGAGACATACCAAAGTCTTTTCAAATAGAAGTTGTTACTCCCTGCTTAACGTTCAGCATTCAGGGAAATGGCAACAACTGGTTCAACCGCTGTCAATATAATGTCACCGGGCGGAATGCTGTGCTGGGTGCCTTTGTCGTAGTACTTCAGTGAGGTAGCACTATAAAGTCGTCATCAAATCTGCGCTATCATAAGAAGGCAAGCAAAACAACATACCCTGTCTCCTGCATACACACACTCAAGCACGCATACACTAAAACACATGGAGGCACGTCCTTAAATGACATTAGCTGTTAAACAAATTAAAGCCTTGACATCAGTAATAGGTCAAAGGTCACCTTAAGTGCTAGTCGGGGTCAAAGGTCAACATGGGTTAAAAGCTTTAAAATTCAAATTTCAATAATTCAAACTTCAATATCTTAAAAATCGTTTAAGAGATGTTAAAATGTGCTGTGATTTAGTTAATAAATTTGGTCTGAAGTTGCATTTATGTCAGTTTCATGTAACAAAAGAATCAGCTGAGCGATATGATCCCTCAGTGCCTCTTGTTTTGTTTAACGTCCTATAAACAACTGAGGACATTTAAGAACGTGCCTCCATGTGTGTTATGTCTGTGTGTATGTGTGCCGGATAGGGGTATGTTTGTGTATATGCCTCCTTGGGACAGTATGTTTCAGTGAGGTAGCACTATAAAGTCGGCATCAGTTCCGCGCTATCACAAGGAGACGAACACGAACATATCGCAGCCTCCCAACACACACACGCATACATTACACGCATGCATCTTGCACACAGGGGAGGCCATCCTTAATGACCATAGCTGTTGATAGGACGTTAAACAATACTGAACCAAACCAAACCAAGCCTCCTTGTGAAAGTGTGGATCTGATGCCGACGTTATAGCGATATCTCACTGATATTCCATGCCGAAGGTACCCATACTGACAACGTGTGAACCGTTGTTGCCATTTCCCCTTAATGCTGAAAGTTGAGCAGGGGATAGCACCTACCATTTTTATGAACTTTGGTATGTCCAAGCATGGGGACAAAACCATTTGCCTTCCTCACAAGGGCGAGCGCTCAACATTAAAGCC